CGAGTTCAGGACCACTCCCGAGAGCCCCCGCCTGCGGGTTGTGTGTTAGGGGTTTTTCTTGTAGAGTCTTTCATAGTCGTCGCACCCCCTCCAGAGACAACATCCACACGGACCCCTTTAGTGCGGGAAGACAGAGACGCCACTTTCAGAGTCGAGCACTCAGGTCCCCTTTGTAGAGTAGTAAGGACTTGGAAAATCCTGCACACTCCCCGTGAGGATTCTGGGAATTGTAGTCCATGTTGTTGTTTTTAATAAGCTGTATGAAAGCGACCTGCTGGGATTCTGAATGTAGGAAGAGTCATGTTGGATCCGGCCAGGCCAATTCAGTATCCTGGTCACAGTGGCCAACCGGTTGTTTGTGGGAAGACCTGTAGTAAGACATGACTGTAGGAACACCCTTCCCTAGCAACAGATACCCTGTTTCCCCGAAAATAAGACCTAACCTGAAAATAAGCCCTAGTAGGATTTTTCAGGATGCTCCTAATATAAGCCCTACTCCAAAAATAAGCCCTAGTTAAGTGAAACCCTGCCCTCCATCATTGTGCAGCAACCAGAAGATGACATGACTATTTGAATAAATGTAGAGTGTTGTACATGACAAAAATAAAACATCCCCTGAAAATAAGCCCTAATGCGTTTTTGGAGCAAAAATTAATATAAGACCCTGTCTTATTTTTGGGAAAACAGGGTACATTGAGAACTTGAGTGAAATACAGGTAAAGGTTCCCCTGGACAATTAAGTCTGATAATGTCTGGTGCTCTTCCCCGTTTGTAAGCTGGTGTTTGTCCATAGACACTTTTCGTGGTTAGGTGGCTGGCATGACTAGACACACCATTACCTTCCCACCGAGATGGTACCTATTTGTCTACTTGCATTTGCGTGCTTTCGAACTGCTAGGTTGGCAGGAGTTGGGACAAGCAATGGGGAGCTCACCCCGTGGCGTGGATTTGAACTGCTTATTTTCAGTCGACAGCCCAGTGAATTGGCGGTTTAACCCACAGCGCCACCCACATCCCAGCAAAGTATCTGACAAAGTGGACTTGGCCACAAAGGCTCGCATTTAAAAAATATAGCAATCTTTAAGGTGCCACCACATTTTTGTCCCCCACAAAGGCTCGCATTAAAAAAATATAGCAGTCTTTAAGGTGCCACCACATTTTTGTCCTTTTTATTTTCATTTTTGCTTGTTTTTTCCTAAAACGCTACCTCTTCTGCAACTATAGCTATGAGAGGCACTGAAAACCACTGCCTCTAATGCTGGAGGTAATGCAGCTCTATTACAGCTAGTAGCTAATAACAGATTCAGCCACCATCATTTTGTCTGATGACCTTTAAAGTCATTCATGTTCATGTCCATTGCTACATTTTATATTCATCAATTCCACAGTGTATTTGCTGTTCCTTTTATTGATTCTAGTATACTGTATTGGGAGATGACATCCACAGAGACACAACAGTTTAGAAAGATGAGATTTTTTCCATTATTTTCCCTAACTGTTATCATGAGCTTATGCATTTTGATTATTGTCACACATCATTTGCATTTTGTGGGTGTGTGTGATGCTCAAATACTGTGCAGTTAAAAATCAGTACATACACTGGCAAAGACACAAAGTACCATGTTATCTATTTATTTACAAATAAAAGCTAAACATCCCTTCCTCAAAAGAGATTTTTTTACTGTACAAAAATAAGGCACACTATTGAACTTTCAAAATAAACAATAATCTTCATATAAACACCATTTGAAATTAAACCTAAACTGGGATTCCCTTGGCAATCTCTGGTAATCTTAAAACATACAGGGAATAGAGACCTTCTAGGGTAGGGTTGTAGAACTTGTGATTCCCTGGATGTTCTTTGGCTACAGCTTCCATCTCTAAGAACTAGGCTGCGCTGGGTGAAGCTAATGCAAATTGAAACAATCAGCCACTGGGGGGACAAAAAAAGAAATGATCGTTCACTACCCCTCAATATCCCATTAGTAGAGAATTATGGGTAAAGATGGGGGTATTTGTATATGAATACAAATATCTCTGTACACGTGGACATAATGAGGGTCCAGCCCCATGGGAATACCCCTGTACACATGGACATAACGAGGGTCCAGCCAGGTGGTCCACTCACTGTTCCGCCGCCGCCATGACCTCCGCAGAGGCATCCAATAGCTCCGTTCCGCCGCCGCCGTGACCTCCGCAGAGGCATCCAATAGCTCCGGAGATCGCATTCGGTGAGCCACTCTTCAACCTAGCAGAGAGGCTTGTCATCCCACCTCCTGCCAGGAGTGGTGAGCCTGTACCCCCATCTCTAATTATGGGTATTCATAAATAGAGGAAGGGCACATAAATATCTGCTTTGAGGAGGAGGTTAGACCTGATAGCCTTATAGGCCCATCCCAACTCCATTTTTCTTCTTCACAGTTCCAGGGTTTTCTGGATGAGATGGATTGTCTCTAGATCCATTTCAGTCTGACTTCAAGGCCACTTATGGGACAGTGTCTGCTTTGGTCACCTTGGTGGGTGAGCTATGCTAGGAACCAGACAGAGGAAACCATTGGACTATGGTGTCCCTCAGGGTTCTGTTTTGTTGTCTGCTACTTATGGGACAGTGTCTGCTTTGGTCACTTTGGTGGGTGAGCTATGCTAGGAACCATTGGACTATGGTGTCCATGTTATTTAACATCAACATGAAACTGCTGGGAATGTTGTTTAACATCAACATGAAACTGCTGGGAGAGGTTGTCCAGAGTTTTGAGGTTCAGTTTCACCAGTATGTAGATGACGCTCAATTCTATCTCTTCTTTTTCATCTATATCCAAGGAAACTGTTTCAGTTCTAGACTGGTGCCTGATGTCAGTAATGGACTGGATGAGGGTGAATAAACTGGAACTTAATCCAGACAAAATGGAGGTGTTCCTGGTCTATCCAAAGGCATATCAGGGAGTAGGAATCCAACCTGTGCTAGATGGGGTTACAATCCCCCTGAAAACACAAGTGTGCAGCTTAGTGCACACAAGTGTGCTCCTGGATTCATCCCTGAGCCTGAATGCCCAGATTTCGGAAGTGGCTACGAGTACATTTACACAATTAAAACTAGTGCACCAGTTGCACCCATACCTGGAGATGTCTCATCTGGCCATGATGACATATGCCTTAGTTACATCCCGATTGAATTTCTGTAATATGCTCTATATGCAGCTGTCTTTGGAAGATGTTTTGAAACATCTGGCTGCAGCAAGATTGTTAACTGGGGCTGGTTTTGAGGATAATAAAACTACTACCCTCATCATAGCAACTCCACTAGCTGCCAGTCCATTTTTGGGCACAATTCAGAGTGTTGGTTTTGACCTAGAAAGCTGTAAATGGCTTGAGTCCAAGCCTTTTCAAAGACCTCATCTCCCTTAATGAGCTTGCCTGAGTTTTAAGATGATCGGGGGAGGCCTTTCTTTTGGTCCCACCACCCTCACAGGTACATTTGGTGGGGACACAGGAAAGAGCCTTCTCTGGTGCTGCTCCCAGACTCTGGATTTCCTTCCCAAGGGAAGCCAGGTTGGCCT